TTTCCTCTCTCTGTGAAGGGGAGATTTCATGTTGCCCCTTGCCCCTAATGGTTAGGGTATAGGGTTGGGGCCGCCAGTGGGGGTCTGGCTAACACAAAGACAGAGACCTGCCAGTAGCTGTGCCTCCCTTTCTCATMGTCCCCCACCCTTCATCGAGWAGCAGCAGAGGCTATGGCCAACACTCTCCCACACACCACACACAACCCACTYGCGCTCACACTCACACCCGTGTTGGCCATAGACCCCGCTAATACGGATCAGGGGTATCCAGAGGACTATCACAGTCCGTTGGCACTAAGTGCGCCGCAGGCGGCCATGGGGCTTGAACCCACAACCTCCTGAATGCCACTTGCATGCCTAACCAACTGAGCTAGGCTGCTGGATTTAAAAAAAAAACTTTTTTTTTTTTAATTTAAAAAAAAACTTCCGAATGTCTTGACAGAGTATCTCATTAACCGCGCCCCAATGCGTCTGACAACAATCCCGTCCAGGTTCAGTCCAAAGTCCAATGTGAGTACGGTCCATTGGTGACTTATTTCGTCTTTGAGCTTGGCCCGAATGTACAGGCAGATTACCATCTTCCCCCGAACTTAACACACACTGAGAATGAATGTATAATTTTTTTTTTATTTTTTTTATTTTTTTTTTTTTTTTTACTTTCGAATGTCTTGACGAGCATCTCATTAACCACGCCCCAATGCGTCTGACGACAATCACGTCCAGGTTCAGTCCAAAAAGTCCAATTTGAGTATGGTCCATTGGTGACTTATTTCGTCTTTGAGCTTGGCCCGAATGTACAGGCAGATTACCATCTTCCCCCGAACTTAACACACCCTGAGAATGAATGTATAATGCCATCTTTCTGGTCTCGTACTGTCATATTCACGGTGCGTTTGATTTGTGAGATACCACAGCCACCTTCTATCATTGGACTGTCATCTGCACGGGCACTTCGGTCAGCTACACAGTCATCCACAGTGTTTAGATGTGTATGGACTGTCAACAACAGTGGCAACTCGTACTGCACTGATAGATGAAATCTCTAGGTATGCACAGCATGTGGCAAATGACAAGAAGGGTAGATAGGTGGTACATAAACCACTAAAAAAGTTGATGATGCGCTGGGTCACTCACACCCCAGCCCATCATGATTACTGACAAGCCATACTCAGACTTCCTCTGCTTCACTCATTGTATAATACAGGGACGCTGGACCCTATCTCCAGCAGGTGCTGCTCCCCACCAATAGATGGAGCCTCCCCGACGCTGCTAGTGGTGTCTGCTCTTATCAGCACCCCTAGCAGACAGTCGGATTGTTTTGGGGGGGGAAAAAAAGAGAAAAAAA